GCCTACCTTACCTGCCTTGTCTTTCTTACCTACCTACTGCCGATGGCCGGCCGGAACAGCCGCCCTATCCTATCCTCCTCTAGCTTCTTTCCGCGTTACGTGGGGATGGAGGAGGCGCCTACGCACGCCATCTTTTAAATCTACTGCGTAGTCTGGAGGAGTGGAATAGGCTCCTTGACCTGGCTACACACAGCGTACCGCCCTAGCCCTGCTTGGCTCGCCTATCTCTCACCACCCCGTAATGCATCTATCTGTTCCCGAGCTGACTTCTACTCACTGAGACGTGACAGCGTCGAGAAGCGATCTCGATGTCTTCTTGCTGGCGTCTTGCTATTCAAACCAACTCACCCTTGGTGTTGACTATTTACAGCATGGTCACAGGCATAATGATTTGCCTCGGCATGTCTTCCGGACCCAGGAGGGTATAGGTATAGTCACGCTACTGGCTCCATGTATCTTTTACCAACGCGAGACGTACCCGATCACCGATGAAGTCTCTCCTCATCTATTAGTCCCCGACGCCAAGGGAAGACATGACATCCCGGGAATGCAATCATAAACGTACGGCTAATCCCCTGGCGGCAACGTAGATTGGGCCATGGCTTCACATTACGAGCATACGGGGCGGCAACGCTTCAGGCCCTAACCCCTACTAACACGGAAACGAATATGGCTTCGTCCTGAGCTGAAGCTACCGCCCCTCTTTCTATGCCTGGTCGGCTACAAGAGACATCAGGAACTTTTGCCAATGCCCCATTTGGAACCGAAATACTAATAAACATGAGTCAAGGGGGACAGCCATCCATCCTTGCGAAACGGAAACCCATCCTCTCTTTGGTTAGTACGACAGTTGAAGCCGTAGAACAGTCCCGTCCCAAGGATTCTCATTCTGGAAACGTTTATTGGGCACCAACCTTATTCAGAATTTGGAAGAAACGTCCTTGCAACGGTTTGATGTCAGCATTCGTTTAGAAGCAAGTCAATACATTCCTTTGAACATCTTGTGACAGACCGTGTAGCTTAGACCACCTCAAGTCGGGACTGGTTCTTGTCCAATCTACGACCGTGAAGATGTGCTTATCATCACTCGCATCGGGTACGCATTGGGCAGTTTAAGACGCCGCTCATCAGAATATCTGAGCGTTTCCCCTGCAGTGTCGTGCCCAGCGTCGCCGAGATGGGCCAGCTGACTGCTGCTCCCTCGGCATCCTTCGTGATGCGCACGATTTGACGCCATAGTGGTTTGTTCATTTTCTTCGCGTAGGTATTCTAGACTGGCCTTAAGATAAATCTCTATGTCAAAATTGGCATTCTTCTAGGATGGAACAAAAGCACGCGCTTGTAGAATCGAGATGCGACGGTACTCGCCACGGTAGCGTGATGTCGCGACAAGGCCGCCTCTTGACACAACACAGGACCGCCATGAAGCCATGACACTTCTGAAAAAGTGATTCACACAGGACGTAATACGAGTCAGATCCGGTAATCTTTTAATTGAAGGCATTCCAAGTATGGCATAGCAGTATTCATTGGCTCTTCACCTTCTACCCTCGGTTTCGGACACACGGAAACTGTCAAATGGTAGCACCAAAATCGAAACGGATTAGGGCAAACGAGTATTGTGGCAAAGCGGTTCCAAAACGGTCATATTGATGCAGTGGTATGAAGATGATGCGGATGGTGCCCTGGACACCGGGGGCTGAGAGGCACTGGGACGCCCTTAGAAAAGTCTGCTTGGTCACATGCACACCTTGAAGCACAGCGTCACATCTCGAGACGTTATGTGAATCTTTGAAATACACCTTGGAGTCTGATTCGAGGCTCTTCTATGTTGGTGTTTCTATTTGGGCGTCTCAATGCTACTACGTGGCTTGTGCTGCCCGGTCGCCTCCCCCGGCATACTATGCCGAGAACTAGGGACTTCCACTCAGATAGCCGTAGAATCTTCGAGCCAACAATGTTTGCCTCAAGCTTTAAATTTTGACCCTTAAAGAAATGGCTGGCATCTTCTCCGGATTTGCGAACATCTTCCCGGCGTTGGCGCAAGCCCCTGGAGACGACTTCCAAGACTGCAAACCTCAACGACTGCCCCGATCCGGCTTCTCGCAACGACACATGCTCGGTCAACGAGCTTCCCTCTCGATACTGAAAAGAAACGCCTCTTTTAAGCTTTCAGTGTTAAATAACTTTTATCGTTTCTTTACACGATGTGTTGATCACGAATTGCCTTCCCCCACGATCAACCCCTGCTCGTCGACTGTCCACACCGATCCTGATTCCAACCGCGACAACTACCCCATCCTTGAGCTACTGGTTAGACACACGAAACAAAAGCCTTCTGGATACAGTTATTTTACGTTTGCATAGAACAGCAGACATATCCTCGCGGTCTTGTCTAGCCTGCCATGTCCCCTAAAGGCTTATGCCGATTGATCGTCGCGTCCCTTCAACGTGCGCTCATTACAATCGTAAACAACACAAACCTCGAACAGATAGTAAACGGAGTGTTATCCGACTACTAAACATAAGTTATAGACGATCTAGCTTCTACGTTTGACCGAGAGTGTTTCGAGACGACAACCTCCTCCCCCTTTCCAGGACTAATCCGACGACCGCGACAGGTTCCAAGACTGCATTTCGACAGGTCCACCTACAATGACGCGAATAAGATACTCTCTATATCCATTAACTCTCTAAATGTTTCAAGTTCTTGACGCGCTGTTTTCTGTGCCGTAAAGGATGCTCACAACCGGTGTGCTACTCCTGTCAACAGCTCTGCCGATACTACGAAACATAACCCAACGGGAACGATTCCGAAACTACCATATGACCATATCGAGCTCACTGTTCGAGTGCTCTGAAACGTCTTTATTACCAATTGATACACCACATGCAACTCAGGGAGGGAAGTTACGGCCAGATTGTCACGCTCCGGAGGCATTCAACACTTCACAACCAGTCCCCTGGGAACTGACATGGCATTTGGATTTCTCCCTTACCCAAACAACCCTGCTAATTGCTGCATTTCCCTGTCTAGACATTCAACCATATCCAAGCAACCGACGTGAGCAAAAGCCGCAACTGCTGCTACTGATACCGGCTAGGCTACTACATCGAGTTGGTGGTGCCTCGCTGGGCCATATGTCCTACTCTAGAAATCGGCATCAACTTGGCTGTCCAAAAATGGCAACAAGATTGACCATGCTTCTGTCTTGATCCTCCAACCCAACAAACGTATCCATCAATCGACACTCCTCTATCACCGACTTACACGCGCTCCCAAAGACGTCGTTTTTCGCTCGCAGACTAAACGTCGTTTGGGCGGGAGCAACCGTGCCAACCAGAAACTCTGTCGCGCCTCGTGGTCCTGACTCGTCCCAGGACAGCGGGATCATGCTCCGTCGGGTGATTATTATGTCATAAATGGAGGAAAGAAAAGAAGAAAAAAAAAAGCCACGAGAAACTTGCCTCGGCTACCGTCCCGGACGAACGGTTGCTCGCTGGTATGTTTGTCCATGTCTCGGGAAACTCTCTTTTTGCCACCGCCCATGACTCGCGATGCCCGAGAATTGCTTTTGCTGGCGCCGGCGCATATTGGTAGATGGGCGTCCGAGTCTCCGATCGACCATCCGTGACTGTGAATGCCGTTTGCAGGAGTAGAAGTAGTCAAGCGGCAATATTTGTAGACACCGAGAAGAATGTGCTGGACCTCCAGGTCCTCACCGTACCTCACCGAGGCACAAGGCAAGTCAGGGGTAATTAAGGGGGTATTTCAGGTCACGTGCGTAGTCATGTGGCTCAGCTGGTGGCTGAGCTGAAGTAAGGTGACCCGGACAAGCAGGTTCTGGCGGTCACAAGGCCCGGCGCAAGATCCGAGACATGCGCGTGACGTAGATCGATCAAGTTCGACGACATCCGTTCCAAGTCCCGGCTTCTCCGCGATTCCAACGTCTCGTCCCCTTCAAACTCACCGTCTCGTGCCCTCGGGGCCTAACAAGGCCGACTGATACCAGCTATCATCTCATCGCCCGTTTCTGATTCTTTCCTCTGAGGTTCATACTCACCTTTGTGAAGTGTCCCTTCAATTTCACAATCTTCAATTGAGGACGGTCAAAAGTATTCGACTTTCTTTTGCATTCTCTCGGATAGACTATGGCGGAAATCCCATCTATCTCAAGTCCACTCAAATGAGACTACCTCCCTTTCGCTCGTCACGTACATCCCCCAATACCCCGCGTTCAGGCGATTTCATCATGCCTCCTCCACACCCATCCGCTGGCTGAGATTCCCAGCCCCTTGGGGACGATGGCTCATCCCAACCATCATAAGTATATACATTGAAAATGCACCATTTCTCTCGGTCATAACCCATGATGCTTCGTGTCAAAAAATAAAATAAATAAAGAACTTGTTGTTTGCGCACACAGCCCGCGAGGCTGCTTTTCTTTTCGCTTTGTGGTTTTCAACGAACCTCAAACGTTCGGAAACTTTTTGGAGCGCCCAGTTGCCTTCACTTCTCTTTCTTTATTCAAAGGAGCCTTCCAAGGCTCCACGCGCGCAGCAGACTCCATCCCATATGACAACACTGATCGACAGGGTAAAAAAAGAAAAAGGTACAAGACCGGAAGCGACAGGCGTGCAGACAAGGGACAGGGGCCGGTCCCTCCCTAGTGGTGGAGACGATTCCGAAAAGACAAAAAACGGTTGGTGAAAACAGTTGACTGTAATGCTGTGGTGTTGTTGACAGACAATAGATCGGTCGGAGTGTCGCGTGCGGGCCCAAATTCTATAATTCTCTTTCCTACACGCTTCAAATGCTGTTCCAAAAGAAGAGAAACGCCTAGCCAGGCAAGAATGATATTGTTGACATGGCGAAAAAGATTCCAATGCACCGCCCCAAAATGACCATGTCGCTTGCTGAAATAAAAAGGGAATCCGATTGCGTCCACTAAGTGGACTATAAGTGAGTGTATGGGGTAGATTAATGTTTGTGACACTTTTTAGATACGCGGGCCAGTCATGTTGATTTGCGGGAACAGCGCATATTGACCCGGAGGCGGAGGAGTGCTGAGGCTCGTCGTGCGAGCACGGCCACGCCGAGTGTGAAGAGAATCTCTTCGCTTGCTGGACAGGTTCGTGTCGCTACCTCGGTTCAAGTCGCGGCGCAGAGGTGATCCCAAAGTCTCAGATTCTAGAAGGACTGCCATTGGGCTAGCCTTGCTGCCGCTACGGGTGTGAGTAGGCTCCGTGACATCATCATGGTCAACAAAAGACGGCACCGGCTCTTTGGTGACCATGTCCTCCATGTTGATTGAAGATGTGCTCATGGTCAAGCGGGTGTAGTCAGTGGCGGTAGATGCCGTCGATATGTGACGCTCGGATCCTGATCGCGATGAATCATTGCTTCCAGTGGTCGATGCGCTCGATCGTGACTGGACAAACAAGTTTGATGTGCTCAGGGTAAGAGTGGGCTCCTCATATGGACTCTTTCCGACAAACTCATCGTTCTCGCGGAGCTCGGCCTGGTGGGATAGTAGCTCTTGGTGGTAGTCACCTGGAATCAAAAGAGATGGCGAAAGGGTGAAGCCTTGCGACTCCTTGAAGCTTGATGCATGCGAAGTTGTGCGGACGTGCAAGAAGCGAGGTGCCTGACGACCATCCTTTCGCGGCAAGGAGAAGTTGGACCGCGTTGGGGACTTCGTTGACATGGCCGGGGCTGTGGGAGTAACTGCCTCTTGCATGGTTGTTGATGAAATTTGGCTGGCCGGGCTCAAAGCAGGCACATCAAAACCGCCGGGGGTGAGCATAGCTGGCAGGACCTGGCTGCTGCTTCGGAAGTGGCGAATGTCGTCTTCGGCGGGAGGGGTGACTGTGCTGTCGTCTCGAGTGAGGTCGAGCGACGGGCGGTCCCAGGCATAGTCGCAGTCAGCTTCGGCCTCATGGTCATAACAATAGTCGATGACCTCCTCCCAGCTGTCTCGCGGCAGTATCTCAACTCCGCCATCCTCATTCTCGAGACCCTCTCGAAGAGCTGTCTGAGCAGCAAACAAATCAAAGCGACCAAGAGTGACAGACTCGCCACTTGGCGGGCGCGCTGTCGTGGCCTGGCTCTGTACTAGCTGTCGGAGGAGAGGAACAGATTGGCTCCCTCGCAGCGAAGAATTGTTGCTCCTGACACTAAGACGGGAGCGACGAGCTAAGACACATTGCTCTTCCTCCTCTGGAACATCTGGAAGCGCGGCCTCGAAAGAGTGGTTGATGGGGCACGTCAATGGCCAATTTGCATCATCAGGAGCGACAAATAGGCGTGAAAACCGTTGCTCGGACATGTCTGACTGTTGGGCGGCAAATCCGTGTGACGTAGCTGGGGGACTAATACCATCCATGTCCAAGGCAAGAGGTTGCGGCCGACGGAAGCCACCACTCGTCTGCGGTCGACCAAAGATACCACTTGCCAAAGGATCAATCTCATCAAATTGAGTCGATGTCCGACTGGAAATCCGCGGCGGCGGCACGGGTGGGACAAAAGTTGGCTCGACTGGTGATCTTGGTGGGCGTGGCGGTGGGGCGCGGAGTTGTTCTTGAGATCGAGTGTGTGTGATCAGACGCCGAGGTGACTTCTCTGGTACCCGCGCGAGCGGTCCGAAAGAGGCCGCGACCGTGTCCTCCTCATCTACCGGCAGGGCTTCAGATGAGAAGTTTGCAAAGTGCAAGTCTTCGGCCTGAATACCCTGTAGTGAGCCTTTTGTGGGAGACTGGGACGATCGCAATGCCGCAAGCTCTGACTGAAGGGCAACCCTGTTTGTCCGTTGCAGGTTCGGCAGATGGTCTCGTTGGGTGTGGGTGACGTGCTGGAAATTATACGGTCCCGATATCTGATATTTCCTCAGTGCAGCTGACTCTTCGGCCGATTCAGCTTTCAGTGTCCGTCGGCGGTTGAGGATGGCCGGAATAAAGCTCTCCTTGTTCGCGGAGGTTGGCGGGCTGGTGACAGTGTCGAAGGGTGCATCCGTGGAGTACATGGAGCTACCAGACGAGCCTGTCGCACTGCTCTCCCTCTTCAACTTGCCTCGGCGGTTGAAGATCGTCTTACCAAAAATCTGCACGCTTTCTGGTCGGTCCCGTGACGGCATGCTGCTTGATGTTGAGCGCTGAGACGACCGTCTCGACAGCGAGATACCTTCCAGAGCTTGTTCCCATGATGGTCTATCGGCTGAGGCAAGCGATCGCAAGGAAGACGACCCAGACGAGGTTGTCTGGTGACTCTGGTGTCTATCCATGACGGAACCACGCTTCATCTGCTTGCTTAGGGCCCTAATTCGCTCAGGAGACGGTGGGCCATCAACTGCCGGTTCCAGTAGTTCGGTCAGGTTTTGAGTGTTCAGGCGCATTGGTGCTGTTGGCGATTGTTGTTCACTCGACCGTTGGGATGAAGAATCCGGGGACAGGTCAGAGGAGGCGGCAGCAGCAGCGGCGGCGGCAGCGGCAGCTTGGGCATTTTTCTTCGCCTTGCGCCTCGAGACTCGTGGGACCGAGTAAATGGGCACAGGCGGTTGCGCATATGCTACCCACATTTTGTCTGTTGATCTCTAGGATGGGCGACGTGGGTACCAGCTAGGGGAGCCTGGACGATGATTGACCTGTTATTTCCTCTCTGCCGGGTATCCTGCTCGCGTTTTGTGGACCAGTACGGTCCCGTCCCTGCGTGGCCCGTGTCTTTTTTTATTCACCTATTCACAGCGGTGAGATGCCGAGCCGTCCAGTGTGCAGCAATGGAACGTCTAAGTCGTCGAGGACGTGCGTTGCGTCCGCTCGCTGAGTACGGTTCTCGTCCGTCGAGTTACGCAGCGTCCCGTGTTGTGCGTGTCGAATTGCAAAACAATGCGCAAGCAAGCAGGAGAGATTTTTTGCGGGGGATACGACGGGTCAATATATTGGGGGGGATGGCGATGCTGGCTTGCTGGGAAATGCAGACAGGCCAGGGGCTGCTTGGGCTGGCTGTGGTACCTGGGAGAGGACCCAAAGTGAAATTGCAAGCGTGCAGCACTCTGCGGACCGTTGCGTGGAGAGCCGTTTGGGCTGGCAAGGAATTGTGGTCCCGGGGGGGTGTGGGTGTTCCGGTGTGGGTTCCTGGCCTAGGAATAATGAGAGGCTAACGTTGAAGGTGGTTCCTGGCGTTTTCCGAGGGTACTAACGATTATGCTCGCTTGCTTGGCTTTTTTGCAAGAGTGTTGGGCGATGTACAACTCGAGTTGTGCTCGCGTGAGAAGATTGGCCTTGCACAAAGGGGGTGGTGGTGGGTGCTGTATTAGTGCGGAGTCGTGGGATCCCTGGGCCTGGGGCCAAACCAGACACACCAAATCTCTCCTTCACTTTCCAATGCAGACAGAGACACAACGACACCTGTCTTCTGTGTTGCGGCTGGTCCCAATTGACGACGCTGGTCAATTCGCCCGGCTGGTCGGGAGAGAGCTGAATCCGGGGGAAGTACTCGCCGGGAAAATGTCGACCAATTTTTTGAAAGGTCGGCCCTGCCTGGGGGGTTTAATATAAATTGCGCGTGCCCGGCTTAAATGCTGGGTGAATGCAATGCAGAAGCGAAGGAAGACCGGCAGGGAAAGTTGCAGAGGCGTCCGTCTCGGTCAGACTGGACCTGACCTGGGGTTCTGCTGACGCGGGAATGGCGAGGTACTTGATGCTGCGAGAAAATGCTAGCGATTGTCTTGCCGAGTTGCATCAATTTGGCGTTGTGTGAGTGAGGGCCAATTGGGATATATATCCAATCTCGCCGTGACAGACTCCCGGGACTGCCACTTTGACTCTCGGCCCTGTCAAACGAGCCTGTCTGCCACCTTAATACTCACAAGGTAGCAGCAGGGAATTTGCTTCCGGGAGAAAGAGGCCTCGAGGCAAGTGTCTCAGTTGCTTGTCCAGAACGCGTGATGATGGGACGAAGTCAGAGTTGTAACTGCCGCTTCAACGACATGAGAATAGGAAATGTGAAGAGGTATGCAAGCGGATGCAGGTCCCCTCGTGTGTAAGTCGCTGATCGGCTGTTCGATAGCCTCTCAATGATTGGTGAGTGCCAGGATGCGCGTGCTAGAGTTATACTCTGCTCAAGTAAGATTGATGGCGTGCGGCGATCGCGTTGTGGTTGAATGGCACACAGCGGCCACAGCAAAAGACGGGAGTGTTTCTAACGGTACCCCCTACTATACTGGGGCCTGAGACTTCTAAGTCCTGCAAGCGTTTCCACCGGGTGGTGAGATGCGCCAGATCCAATGGGCGTAGAACAGCCTGGCCTTGGTTTCCCGATCGGGTCTCCAACTAGTCTTCCTTCTACTGGCGCCGCGCCGCCGCAGGCTGTTGGCGGCTTCAAAGATAGGCCACGGAAGGCGGCGGTGATGGGGGAAATGTCTCAGACTTGAGGCGTTTCTCTACCTTGTTGGCGGGATGATGCTGGACTAAGACAACTTCCGCAGTTGCGCCTAGGTAGTGTTTCTAAACCACGTTTGTATCCGCCAATTGAGACATCAAAAACGACGCGGGCCGCTTGCCAGCTATAGCTTGCGAAAATACCTGCAAACTGATTCCTCTAGAAGCCTCTTCCCATCATCGATGGTAGGCTGGTCTTGTTGGCCGATGTGGATGGAGGCATGCCAGTTCACAATTTCTCGGTCCTCTCTCGTACCTTTCTGCAGCATGCAAGCAGACCCCAACCTACAGGCCTTTGATAAGTACGTTAGCTCGTAATAGAGGCTGGCGTGGCGGGTCGATGGCGGATTACAGGGCTCCCAGGCCGGACCGGGGTGTTGGAAAAGCCTGGAAGAAAAGGCTGGCGTTGGTGCTGGTGCTGATGCTGGCGGGGTGTGGGAGAGGGGTCAGGACCACAACATGGTTCGGTCGCCAAACCTGGTCTGAGAATTCCTTTGTCACTGTCTCTTTGCTATCTGCGGTCAAAGAAACAGAAATGAATATAGCAGACATGGCTATCTCCCCGGCGCTGAGACGTGCAAAGTCACAAGGACCTGGCTGGCCGACGAGATTCCGATCAGCACCGTCGTGTCCCTCTAGCACGCTGCCCAATATCATTGACGCGAAAACTCAAAATTGTCTTAGGTCTGAGGGCCGGAACTAATAACGACATGGATACACGGTGTTGCGCGCGATGTTGTGGCGCATCGGCTACTTGGCGGCGCTCCCATCCTCAGGGGGTTCGATTTTGATTGGTATATCTGACAGCTAATATTGCCAGGCATCCTGAATTTGAAAGGTGGTTATGGAGGGTCGAAGCCTTTTCGGGTGGGTGGTTTACACCCCCGCATCGCATGATAAGACAAGCAGCGAGCCAGGCTCCAGGTAAGGTAGGCCTGTCTTGTCTTCCGTTTCTCTTCCCAGTTGGGAAGTCACTGCAACACGGAACACAACTCCGCAGAATGTCGTCGAACACTGGCTCGATATTTCTTCCTTGAGCAAGCATTCCCACGAGCTGAGGTCGTCGGGATAGGCTTCCTGTCTCAGACACCCTGGCTCGCCAGCCCGGTGGGGCTGGTTGGTTTCAACGCCTCAACGAAGGCTGTAAAAGTCGAGCCAAGCCACTGTAAATGCTGCCTCTGAGCAGTCCAAGTCTATCACAGGGAGGTTGGCGACGTTGACGGGCTGGGAAGTCTTCCATTGATGTTGGGTGTCTGATCACAGGTGCAATCTCTTCCATCCACCATACTTCCTGTCATGTGTGATAGCTACGATTCAAGTGGTCTTTCACGTATTTCACGAGCCGAGGCGTCACATTGAAATTGTCATCTCGTCCGCTTCAAAATCCTAACATTATCCATGTGCATATTATGGACGGTTTGGCGGACATCCCCCTAGAAAGCAAGTGACCAATCCGGGAAGATGTTGTATTGAACGTCAAGCTGCAGCCTCAAGACTTCAGGTAAAACTAGACTATTGACCCACCTCGACGGCGTTGGGTCTTTGCTTGAAATGTTGAACCAAGGCGATGTTGCCTAAGGAGTATGCCCTTCGGAGGTGTACCTTGTTGAGATACTTGGCGCCGATATCGTGTTCGTTCCCTAATGCTACAACTGTTATGGGGACTGTTGTTGGCAGAACAAAAGCGTTGCATATGGGAAGAGAAAACTTTTCTTGCCATGCGTTTGAGACCGAGACATTCGCACGGATCAAGTTGAAGAAGACCAATGGAATCAGCCACCCGGCTGGGGCCGCAACGGGATCTGGGAGTACCCACGAAGCAGGTGGGCACGGGCTGGGGCATATTCACGATCCTCTGCTGCATACGATGATCAACATGCTCAAGAGTAGTCTC